ACATTCCCACCAATAGTGGAGAAAGGTTCCTTTTTCCCCACAGCCTTTCCAGCATTTGTTATTAGTTTATTTCTTTATGATAGCCATTCTTTTTGGAGTGAGATGGAATTTCAATGTTGTTTTAATTGGGCCTTCTGAAATGATAATTGCTATGGAACATTTTTTTTTCATGCATTTATTTGCCATTTCTATTTTTTCCTCTGAGAAATGTGTATTTATCTTATATGCCCATTTTTTTAAATTGGATGTTTGAATTTTGGGGGCCTGTATTTTTTAGTTCTTTATATATGCAAGATAGAAGTCCTTTGTCTGAATGTCTGTTGGTTAAGTTTTTTTTTTTTTTTATCAAGTTGTGGGTTGTCCTTTCACTCTGTTGGTGATTTCTTTGGACAAGCAAAGTGCAGAAAGTTCTCGTAAGGTAAGATCCCAGTTGTTGATTCTCTGAAGTATTTCCTGTGCAGTTTGGCTTTTGTTCATGAACTCTTTGCCTACCCCTATTTCTTCAAGATTTCCACCAGTAGATTTAGTGTTTGTGTTTTCATTTTTAGATCTTTAATCCATTTTGACTTAAGTTTCATAAATGGTGGTAGACTTGGATCCAGTTTTAGTCTTTGGCACATGGAAAGCTAGTTTTTCCAGAAACATTTATTAAAGAGGCTAGAGTTCTTTTAGTGAGCGTATATGGCTCCCTTGTCAAGATAGGATGGCTGCATGTGTTTGCAATTCTGTCTGTATTTTCTAATCTGTTTCATTGATCCTCATGCCTGGATTTTTGGTAGTACCATTCTGATTTTATCATAGTAGCTTTGTAGTACAATTTCAAGTCAGGGATTGTAATGCCTCCTGCTTTGTCTTTGTTGCCCAGGATTGTCTTTGCTATTCTAGGTCTTTTCTGGTTTGAAATGAATTTTATGAACATTTTTTTTATATCTGTCAGGTGTGTTGATGATGTTTTGATAGGGATTTCTCTAAATTTGTATAATGATTTGTGGAGTATGACCATTTTCACAATGTTGGTTCTTCTTATCCAGGAGTAATTAATATCTTTCTATTTTCTGGTTTTTTCTTCAATCTTTTTTTTCAGAGTATTACAATTTTGATTTTATAGGTCTTTTATTACATTTGTTAGGTTGGTTCCTATGTATTTCATTTTTTTTGGATGCTCTTATGAAGTGTATTGTTTCCCTAATGTCTGTCTCAGTGAATTTGTTGTCTGTGTAGAGGAATGTTATTGACTTCTGGGTGTTGACTTTGTATCCCAAATTTGTTTATTAATTCTAAGAGTTTCTTGGTAAGGTTTTTTGTGGGGGATTTTCCATATAGAGTATCATGTCATCTGTGAATAATGATAGTTTAACTTCATGATCTCCAATTCTTGTTCCTTTTATTTCTCTCCCTTTTCTAATGGCTCTGTCTAATATTTCCAAAATTATATTGAATAGGAGTGGTGATAGTGGACATGCTTGTCTTGTACCTGATTTGAGAGTAAAAGCTTTCAGTTTTTCTCCATTTAGATTTATATTGGTAGTTGATTTGCCATAGATCTCTTTTATTAGATTGACTTATATGTCATCTATTCCAATTTTCAGTAGTTTTTATCATGAATGAGTGTTGAACTTTTCAAAAGCTTTTTGTTTGTATATTGAGATGATCATGTGTTTTAGTTTTAGGCTCATATAGTGCATTGTATTTATAAATTTGTGTATAATGAACCCTATTTGTATATCTGGGATTAATCCTACCTGGTCATGGTGTATAATCTTGTTGGTGATTTGCTGCATTCTATTTGCTATTATTTTATTGAGTGCTTTTGCATCTATATTCATGAGGGAAATTGGCCTGTAATTCTCTTTTTTGGTTTGGTCTTTGTTCAATTTTGGTATCAGTGTAGTACTTTTCTCCAGAAATGAATTAGGGTACATTACTTCCTTTTCAGTTTCATTGAAGAGTCTGAGGAGTATTAGGATTAAATTTTCTCTATATTTCTTGTAGGCGGGCCAGCCAAATAGCTCAGCT